GCAGCAATGAGACTCTGTCTCAAAAAAAGAAGCAGCCAAATAAAACAAAGAAGTAGGGAAACGAGAGAGCAAACATTCATTCCTCTCTTCACTCATTCAGCACCTGCTGTGTGTAGAAATAACTTACTCATGGCCCCTACTGTTGGGAGATGTAGTTTAGTTGAGGAGATACATACAAAATGTGATATATCATGTTAACTGTTTGGGGAGCATAGAAGGTAGATGAATTCACTTTGCTTGAATGACTAGAGGATGTCTTTATTGAGGGAAAACCCAAGGCTACTGCGTATAATAGGTAGGTTCTGCCCTGGTCAAGGGCACTGGGCTAAAAAGTGGAGTGAAATCAAGCCCCCACTGCACTGATCAACCATGCACCCTGGTGAGTTGTGTCTACCTGGAGGGTGTGGCTCTTCTTAATTTCACAAAGGGTCATGTCATATGGGTCAATGTTGGGCTGAAAACAACAATTGAGTTAGGGCTTAATGAATGAGTAGGAATCTGCCAGGCAGAATTCTGGAGGGTGAGCTTGTTGTAAGTCATGAAAGGGCCTGGAGTGTCTGGGGAAGGGTGAGAAGTTCCATAGTTTGTATTTTTATCTGTAGCAGGTAGGGAACTAACTGTTTTTTAAGAATGGGAGCACATTAATCTTTGGGCAGCAAACTCTGAGAAGTGCAGGGGTGATGTTAAGGAGGGATGGGCAGAATCCAGAGGAGAGGAGATGGTAACCTTGACTGTGAGAGTAAAGGGGGCATGCAGAAAAGGTGGAGGGAGAGACAAAGAGGTGGTGAGGGTGATGCAAGGGCCAGGGCTGACTTCAGAGGTTTAACTCTGGATATCGGGGAAAGAGGTTTAATAATGTGTGTGTTGGCAGGAAGGGGTGCTAATAGGACAGGTGGAAACACGGCAAGTCAAGGATCTCGTGGGTAGTAAGAGGGGGGAAGAGCTATGAAGTCAGCTTTGAAAAGCTTCAGTACATGAGACGCAGTGGAAGCCAGGGACATGAATAGGATCACCAGGAGAAAGTACACGTTGAGAAGAAAGAACCTGAATCCCAGCTGGCAATCAGAAAAGCCCGATGACTGCAGTGAGAACGGTTTGAGTACAGTACCAGGGACTGAAGTCACATTGTAGTAGACGGGAGATTAAGCATTAAAGGAGACAGGGGTTTTCATCCCCAGTTACCCATTAGAATTACCTGTGAAGGTTCAAAAAAAATTATTAACTCCTGGGTCCCTCCTCTTGGTGTTTTGGGACCAGAAATCAGTATATATTTTTGAAAAGCTCCCAGGTAATAGTAGTGGACAACCAGAATTAAGTACTGTAATTCTTGACTATTCTTGTAAGAAGTGTAAATAAACCCTGATAGCTAGCAAGCAGATAATGACAAGCTTAAAATAGGGTATCAGAGAAATATAAAAACTTTTAAAGATGAAAAGTCTTTATATTCTGTTAGACTTAAAAATTATAAAGCTGAATAATAATGATTTCAGTGTAGCCGTGGGGCCAAGCAGCTATTGTATGCCATTGGTGGGTAGGTAGACTAATGCAGCCCTCCTGCCAGAATAGCTCTGCCTTGACCCAAGAGTTCTACCACCAGATATGCATCCCAGGGAAATTCGCCCACAGGGCCATAGGCAGCATACACTAGCATATTCCATCATAAAGAGGCTTGTAAAGAGTGGGAAGAATTGGAGCTAGCCTGACTGGTCTTCACTGGGATAATGAAATGAATTAGGCAAAATTGGGAGAGCATACCCCACAGAATATTATGCAACCATCAGAATCATAGATTAGATATAGAAAATGTTAGCATGGATGGATCTTAAAAAGTTAAGATTTATTAAAAACACAATAAATAGCAAGAAATAAACAATATCACTTACATAAAAGTAAATACAAAACAACTATATAATATACATAATATATATATATTTTTTAATTCTTTTTTTTTTAAGAGAGTCTCACAATGTCATCCTTGGTACAGTGCCATGGTGTCCCAGCTCATAGCAACCTCAAACTCTTGGGCTTAAGCAATTCTCTTGCCTCAGCCTCCCAAGTAGCAGGGACTACAGGCACCCGCCACAACGCCCCACTATTTTTTGTTGCAGTGTCATTGTTGTTTAGCTGGCCCAGGCCAGGTTTGAACCTGCCACCCTCAGTGTATATGGCTAGTACCATAACCACTGTGCTATGGGCATTGAGCAGATATATATCCTTTTTTAAAAGAAAAATGTATTCCAAATACAAATCTAGATGACACTAACCATTAAAATGATTGTCTGCACTTCAGAAGAACAGGGAACCTTGATGAGAAAGAAGATGTTTCACTTAAAAAGTGTGATTCGGGCCAGGCATGGTGGCTCATGCCTGTAATCCCAGCACTTGGGAGGCCTACACAGGTGGATTGCCTAAGATCACAGGTTCAAGACCAACCTGAGCCAGAGTAAGACCTCATCTCCAAAAAATAGCCAGGCGTTGTGGTGGGCCCTGTTAGTCTCAGTTACTTGGGAGGCTTAGGCAAGAGAATCACTTGAGCCCAAGAGTTTGAGGTTGCTGTGAGCTATGACGCCATAGCACTCTACTGAGGGCAATAAAGTCAGACTCTTGTCTCAAAAAAATAAAAAAGAGTATGATTCCAAGGAAGGAAGAGATAGGATAAAGGCTTAAATGGGAGGTGGGGCCTAGAGAAGGGGGGAGTGTGTGTGTAATGGAAGAGTTGTAAATGTATAGATGAGGTGCCAGGCTCCTCCCCTTATGTAATCACATCACTGGTAGTAACAGCAGAGAGCTTGTCTAAGCAATATTCCTTTCTTTGTCTTTCCACAAACTCAAGTCCGTTTGATTTTTTTCTCATTCCACAGCAGTGTGTGCTTGCTACAGGTCTATCAGAAAATTGGTGAGCAAACCTAACAGAACAGATCCATAACCCCATCCACCTAGAGACAGCAACCAGATCTTTTTCTATGAATATGTTGCAAATTAAATGAAACCTGTTTGTAACCTGAACCTTTTTTTTTCCCTGCTGAGGAGTGTATTGTGTGTCTGGAGACATTTGTGCAACTTTGTTTTTAATGGCTGCATAGTGTCCTGTTATACAGATAATACCATTATTCATGTCCAGTGCCCTTCTTCTGGACATCAGTTCTAAATTTTACCACCTCAATGCCATGGTGAATAAACACAAGCTACCTACCTTTGAAGAGAATTGCCTATCCTTCACTTGGCTCATTTTAAAAGGAGGTTCGAAGCTTGGACTTGCAATATCTAATGAAGTAAAACTTTACTTGGCATCAGCCAAATTGGAGACTGGGGCCAGTCATGAATGACAGTGAAGGAATAGGGCCATTCTCCACTGTTCAGACATAGTATAGATACTTGTCATTGTGCCAGAGGACAATATGGGCTCTCTGGTTTCTATACTTTAGTCAGTGATGCGCATTTAACTCACAGAGACTGTTCAAGGAGCCAGTGTGGAACATGTGGGTCATCTCCCAAGTAATTACGTTACAGGCATGGGTGGACGAGGAGGCACTCAGCTTTTAGAAAATTACAAAGAGGCCGGGCATGGTGGCTCATGCCCCTAATCCTAGCACTCTGGGAGGCCAAGGCAGGCAGATTGCTCAAGCTTAGAACTTTGAGACCAGCCTGAGTAAGGGTGAAACCCCATCTCTACTAAAAATAGAAAAACTAGCTGAGCATTGTAGTGGGTGCTTATAGTCCCATCTACTCAGGAGGCTGAGGCAAGAGGATTACTTAAGCCCAAGAGTTTGAGGTTGCTATGAGCTACGACGCCATGGGTGGCACAGTGAGACTGTCTCAAAAAAAAAAAAAAAACAAACAAACAAAGAAAAGAAAATTACAAAGAAATCACCATTCATACTAGGGGACCATAATAGGTTCTTAAATTCATACCAGAATGGAGCACAGCACACACCAGCCCTAAGGCAAAGCACAGTGTGTTTTTCTGAGTACTGCCTAGCCCCCAAAGACTTCCCCCAAACTAGAAGGTTGCATTTACTCCTTTCGTTTCCAAGAGAAATCCATTGCCCAGTGTGTCTTCAGGTTTTGATAGTGACTGACCAAGCCCCTCTGTAGCCAGCTTGCCAAGGCCTGAAGGAGCAGCCTGGATATTGGAGACAGACCCCTTCCTGGCAGGAATACTCTAGGGCAGCATTTGTTATGTGTGGTAGCAGAAGAAATGCACTTTTGTCTTTTCAAACTAGTCCTTAGTTGTCAAGGAGCTTTGAAAAGACAAAGGTGTTTTCAGGGTCTGTTTCGAAGCTGTTGAATGTATTCTCCAACCTATGTATATCTATGTATATATTAACATATAGCCATGTCCCAAAGAATGAGTGCTGGGCAGCAGTCTGGCAGACAAGGTAAGCCTTCCCATGAGTTACAGCTGATAGTGCAAGGAAAGCTCAAGGCTTAGAAAAATCCCTTCAGTGGCCCTGCTTAAAAATAGCAGTGCAGGCCATAGCTTAGTGTTTTGACAGCTTATATCAGCAGTTTTCTCAGCTGATATATTGATTGCAGTTTGGACTTCAGTCCTGCTGATCTAATAAAACATCACCGTCATAACAGAGAAAGTAAAAGGATCTTTTGTGGTCCTAGCCACTTGGTGAAGTAGATTTACTATCTATAACATGCAAAATAAAGTGACTCTGGACAAGTTCACTAATTACACTTTATAATTTAATTTCCTCATCTATCAATATATTGTTTATTAACACTATTCTGCATATGTTTACAAATATGCATTTGTTGAAAGGCATGCAATGGTGCCTTCATGAATACTAAAACGGGTTTTATACATCAGTATCACAAACAACCTACTAGCACACCGAAGACTGCAATGCCCCCTACACTAAGTGGGGAAAATGCCTAGTCAGCTGAAGTCTGGACCAACCTTTAAGACATGTAAACATCTTTTCATTGTAATTTTGAATGGGTATTCTGTGTATTTTAAAATCCCCCTTATGCTGTCCTTTATTTTACAGCAATTGCTAACCATCCAGGAGGAGTTAAACAACAAAAAGTCAGAACTGGAACAAGCAAAGGAAGAGCAGTCCCACACACAAGCGTTACTGAAAGTCCTCCAGGAACAAGTAAGTGAATGAAACAGCTGACTGATGAACCAAATCAAACCCTTGATACACACCTCCCTCGTGCGTCACCCACGCAAACGTTACTGAAGGTCATCTGCAGTACAATTAGCCTGCACCCTGGCAAAGCTCCTGGCACCTTTGCTATGTAGGGTATAACCTCATAGCCAGCATCGCTCGCTGGCTGTCCTCAGTCCTGTACCTATTTAGCCTGCCCAAGCCCACCAGCATTGTAGGAAATTTCCTTCCAGAAGACAAATGGATTTTGATGAAGTTTTATAATATTGGCAGTGCAGATACACTTCAAAATAAGCAGAAAGTTTCCTGTTAAGTCCAGCAGTGGGGAAATGTGTGGTATAACCCAGGGTCCTCTTGCAGACATGTGAACAAGGAAGACTGATGCATAACAGTGGTAAAATAATATCTGCCCTGTGCATCAGAGCACTTATCCAACCGTGGTGAGCAACAGACCTTTTCTATGATGTTCGTAAATCTGATCATTTCATTCTAGCTTTTTTTATATATGAAAGTGTGGCTTGACATTGATAACTGGATCGGAAAGTATTGTCTTACAGCAGGGCAAGATCGATCACTCAGCAGGCGGCAGAGTGAAATCTAAGCGCACTGTCTACATTGGAGGAGCCTGGAGAGCTCTTGAAATGCCTTCCTATTTCTGGCCTTCACTTGCTGCCAACAATATAATGAATGGTAATTAGGAGAGAAAAAAATCACATTCAACCCTCTGTGGGTTATTAAATGTAGGTTGTTTTAAATTTTTCATTCACACATAGTAGTTTACAAGAATGTTATTTATATAGGATAATTTCAAAGGTGACATTTTAGAAAGTAAGAAATAGGGAGAGTGTGACCCTAGTCAGCTGAGTCTAAGCCACTTTGCAAGTGATTCTTATTATTTTAATGGTTTGGGAATCAAGAAAATATCTTTTTAGTTATTTTCCCCTAAAAATGTAATTGATTTGTGAGGGAAAAGTGAAGATGGTAGAAAGTTTATAGTCTTTTTTTAACTTTGGAGAAATTTTAAAACTACTGATTACGTGATTTACACACACTCAGTGCCTTACACTAAGGCTAAATCTGTATGATTTCAGATGTTAGATTGAACTGAAAAATCTAGTTGACTAAATTCACAATTACCTTCTGTCTAGGACACATGAAATCATTGTCCTTTCCACTTTTAGGTTATTAAAAGACTCCCGGGAAAATGGAGCTGAGTTTGGACCATATCTGCTCCTGATCAAAACTGCTATAGCTCTGAGCTTTTGTTGTTTTCTTCTCTCCCTCCCTCTGACTTTTTCTTTTAGGTAGCTTTAACTGGAGTTAGGAGGAGTGAAATTCTCTTTTCTCTAAATGACTCAAATCCTTTATTTTGATTTGGAGTCCAAATCCCAGTCATAAAGATAAATTCTGAGTTTTGCAAAAAGTATTGATATATTCTTATGGCATGCATTTTTAAAGAGCAAAGCACACACACAGGCATTGGTGAAACATCACATTTCACTTTCCATTACTTTAAAGAAAAAAACGGAGAACGTGAAGAGGATTCAAAAGAACTAAAATCATTAAGGACCTAGAAAATACGACTGAGAAGGAAGCATTTTTAAATAGCAGTACTAATTGAAGTGGGATGGCTTTTTCCAAGCAAAAGCTCCATAACAGCCAAATGTATCTGCGGTGCCATTGCCACTGCCCAGCTATTTGCCCGAGAGCCAGGTAGCTGCTGCTCCTAGTGGTTCTTGCAAAGCGGGTAGGCAAGGTACGGGTTCATTCCATTGCCCTGCAGCTACCGCCACACACAGAAACATACGCTGAAACCACACCGGTCACTTCCATGAGCATTGCCCTAGGAGGCTTTCTTCGGATTTGTGTGGAGTAACTACACGTGAAAGCACTGATTCGGTTGCCTGCATAGATACGGCAACTTGCAAACACTGCAGAGTTTAATAGCAGGGAAAGACAGACCCTTCTCTGAAGATGTGGTATTTTGCTATTCAAAGCCCCTGTCACTTGCTGGGAATCCTGACAGGAAGGGAGAGGTCCTGAGGCAGACCCTTCCCACCATTAGACTCCACTGCTTCAGGGAAGGCCAGATGGTTCCTCCACTCCCCTCTGGGGAAGGCAGGATCATTCCCTCAGCTCTCTAGCCTTCCCGTTTCCTGAGACCAGCTTCTCTAGGTCTCTACAGCTCCACAGTGTCCTCCCTTTCATCTACTTTACAACGATGGTAGCTGCCTACATCTGGAGCTTGTCCACAAGCCTCAGTCTCATCAGCCCCTCCTGGGAAGAGCAGCAGTGGGAGGAGGGAAGAACAAGGAGCAGGCTAGGGAGTGCCAAGCAGCAGCTGGCCTGGAGCTCAGCCGCCAGGAGAGGGGCTGCAGGTGATGGGGCTGTCTCCGGGCCTGGCAGGAGAGAGCAGGGAGGAAGTGGGAAGGGAGTAAATGGGCAGATAAAGATGAGGGCAGAGTTAGAGGACGACCTGGAGTAGGAAGAGAGGAGGGCAATGGGCACATTTACGTTGGTAAACATGTAAAGGTAGAACCTCCAACAAAGAATAAGATCTGAGCTAACCCGGCTCTAACACTTGGAGCACAGGCCACATGACCTCAGTGTGGGGTGGGGGTGGTATGGGGCGGGGTGGGGAGAAGGTCCCATGAGAAGGAAGAAGATGGGGAGCTCCCACGTAAGAAACCTTAAGCTAGGAAAAGGTGGAGGTTACCTTGTGGTAATGGATGGAATTCCCATTTGCCATGTGTAGAATCATCAGTGATGTAGCCCTGAAGAACCGTGGGTGTAGTTTTTCCCTAAAGTGGGGATGATGTGGAAATGGGTCAGAGTGTCTTTTGTCCCTAATCAGCTGCCTGTCATAAATTTCTTTTCTTTTCTTCTTTTTTTTTTTTTACAGTTTTTGGCCAGGGCTGGGTTTGAACCCACCACCTCCGGTATATGGGGCTGACACCCTACTCCCGTGAGCCACAGGCACCGCCCCGTCCTCAATTTCTTCATGTCACAGTTCTTTGTAAAAAACTCTCTCTTGGCATGGAGAGGCTATGACTTTCTTGCTGAGAGTTTAAGACTTAAAAAAACTAAAGCTTTTATTTTAATATGTACAAAATAGCCAGAAAGAACCAATATTCTGAAACCAATGCATTGTTGGCGTGTGTACAGTTATTTTCTTTCAAACTTTACGTATTTATTCCCCACCACAAGTACTTTATTTTAGGCATAAAAAACATGATAAAGGAGATGCTGCTTCCTAAGTGTGACAAGTCAGGAAGGAATACTGGCAAACAGCTGCGAGGCTAGCTTACCCTTTTCCTTTGCTCTCTGCTTCCAGATTTCTGTTTTGAGTTAGCATAGGATAAAATGCCAATTAAATGTTTCCCAAATTTTCCTAAAAAAGTGATTATTCTTAAGCCTTCTGAGAGGGAGGAGAATTTTAAATATTCACTGTTAAAAACTTTATTTAAGTAATAGCTTTTCTTCTAATTCTTCAGTGGTTAAAGTGATGTTTTCCCAATTCTTCCTCTGCCTAGGAAGCAACCATCTTCTCCTTTTAGGCCTCCAGAGAAATCAGTCATTCAAATATGTTCTCAAGGAGGACATGTATAGTAGCATTGCAGCATGTTAAAAATAGCTGAAAATGTATCACTCACGAATAATCGTTAGTATAACATCATTTAGCTGGTGGCAACTTGCAAACACTGCAGGGTTTAAATTAATAGCAATCTGACTAGGAAATGAAATCATTTATTATTCTTAAGAACCAATTTTATACATTTTATGCCTATGGAACTGCTTTCTAATCTTATTATTTAAAAAATAATGACCAAGACCCATTTATTTTTTGCCAGCCATCAGGCTTCATAAAATATTGGTCTCAAACTGGCTTCAATAAGGCTCATTAGAAATATGTGCTCCATCTGTTTTACCTCATTGGACGTTTTATAAAATGCAACCTCAGATAAATCAGTTAACAAGATAGTAGCAGCCTTCACTGATTTTTGTTTTGTTTCTCGCTCTCTCTCTCTCTCTTTTTTTTTTCTTTAATTTGCAGTTAAAAGGCAACAAGGAATTGGTGGAGACCAATGGCCACAGCCATGAGGATGCAAATGTAGGTACCACAATCCTGGCATTTCTTTTCTTGCTTGATGTTGGTTGTGATGTGTTTACATTGGTAAACATGGAAAGGTAGAATGGGGGATTGTGACATGTTATTTGCCACATAAAAGAAATCAGAAGCTCTGCCGCTCAGTAGCTTAAGATTATTATATACGATTTGGCAGAACAACGTGGTTGATAGGCACTGCTGTCGTTAACTTCATTTGTCAAATGTCAATTTAGAGGTATTTGAGCTAATCACCACCATCAAAAATTCTAATCTCAATGAGTTTGTTTGAATCCTTTATATTCCCAGAGCTATAAATTGGTGATACATTGGGGGAGGCAAATGGAATGAGGCTCAATAGGGTAATAGGTAGTATATTTCATTTTTATTTGTTATGTTTACCTGCTAACGACTAATATACTGAAAAGATCTCAGAGCCACTCCCTGCTCTCAGAATAGCTCTTGAAAGTATGCCTCTCTTTTGTTACTCACCAGAACAGTAGCATGCTGCGTGTGGTGGTACAGGAGCCCCATTGGCACCCTGACTTCTTCTCTTAATGTTCCTTGAATCAAGTATTCTTTGTGCTTTGAAAGTTTTTTAGTTTCAGGTGGAATATTTTACCGTGTAGATCATTGTCTCTGCATGTTTGATGGTTTTGTTTTTGTCTTTTTTCAATCTGTTTGATACCCGTACGTATTTGATTATTCTCATCACAGAAAATGCTTACCAAGCAGTTCCTTTCACATAACACAGAATTAGACATGGTAATGAATGCCTGATTACACCAGAGCTAGGAGAAATTATATATTTCATGTTCACTCTTGTTTTAATTATATACAACAGACAGCCTAATATTCAAAGTACCAAAAAAAAGTCCCTCTTAATCATTACTGTTTCTACCCAACAGATATTTAACATATGGTGCTTAGTGAGGACCAACTGTGTTCATGGTGCACCATGATATTCTAGGGAGGTAGGGATGGGGGTTACAAGAAATAGAGGACTTGCCATCTGCCCTCAAGGAACTTATGACTGAGTTGAGGAATTAAGAAACAAGATGATAGACAGGATGTGATAAGTGTACACGAAAGAGAGGCAGCTGTGATGTGATGTACTTTGAAATCCAGACTTGCTGCTTATTAAGTGTGTCAGCTTGACAAGATACTTAACCTCTCTGAGCTTTATTTTTCTCATTTATAAAAAGGATGACAAAGCCTACCTCAGAAACTTATGATATTGCAATGAGTAAAGGTGTTATTTTTATGATTTCTTTGTGCTGGGTAATCAAGAAAGGCTTCCTGGATCCATGGTACTAGGGTTTCACTTTGAAGATTGGATAGGATTGAGAAAGTATAGAGCGAGAGCATGAAGCTATTGCGGCAGAGCCTACTGGGCAGTACTGTGACAGACACAGAGATTGTGTTCCCTCTCCAACACCACCTGACCCGCAGCCTTACCCTGAATCTCTGTCTTCCAGGGGCACACCACTGCTGCATTATCGACCCAAATATTCATGTCCACTCCACACACGGCCAGTCCCTCTGTGCCTTTCAAGGATGAAGGGGCCATGTGCCTCAATGTCCTGGTCTATAAAATGGGAATGATACTTCCTACCATTCTTTCTTGAAGGCTTATTATGAAAAGCAAATGATCTGGAAGCACTTTGCAACTCTGAGGTTCAATCTGAGTAGATGTTTTAAATTGAATTAAATTAGGCGACACATGTCAAGTATTCAACTCATAGGCCCTTTTTCGAGAAATGTTAAAAGTCATTTATTGTTCAGTGAAAAACATAAAGGGAGATGATCTCTGAGGGGTTTTGTCCCTTCTAAAGGAAAGCTTCTAACTTTTTAAGATACCTCTCTAGAGCTCATGATTTAGGCTTTCAACTCAAAGATAGGTCTGTAGGGAGATGAGGTTCCAGCCATGCAAGATGTAGGAGCAGCTCCTTGACGCAGAGTTGGGAGACACCTGTGAAGTGGCAGAGCGCGGCAATCCTTGCCAGCTAGCCTGCGGGTGGCCATCTCCCTGGCCCAGCAGAGGCTAACTGTTACAGTCACCGCCTGTTTTGTCAGGGGTCTCCTAGTTGATAAATTATTCACTTGTTCTTCTGTTTTCTGCCTGAATTTTTTCTCCTTCTGGCAGTTTCCCTTGTACCTCCACTAGGGTTACATGAAAGAAAAGGAAAAAAAATCAATTATTTTGGCCATGCTTTAGGAGCTCTAGCAAAATACTTTGAGAAGATATTTTTAAATGTCTGAAATGAAGTCTCCATCTCATCAGAAGTCTCCATTAACCCTGTGGTGGCCAAAAGAGTTGAGGCTTTCAAACCAGACCAAGAGTTTGAATCCATTCTGATCATGAATAGCCTTGTGACCCAGGCAAATTCTGTGACCTTTGTGAACTTCACCTTCCTCATTTGTAGTGTACTAAGTAAAACCGTGCACATAAACACCTGGCTGAGGGTACATACTCAAACAACTATTAATTCCATTTCATGCATCCATAGAATTTATTATAGCAGACAGGGCTTTTGCAGGATGAATATTAATGCAAACCACAAGGTTTTAAGCATTGGGCCCAGAGGCTACTGGCTCAGACATATAGATTATTATTCGTTATCATATGCACATCTGGAGGCAAGAATTTTATGCATTATCATTTGTTAATAATAATTATATGGTGAACTGGTACCAGCTTAGCTGAGTATTCTTGTGAGAGTTGAAAAAATTTTTTTATAAAGCTAGTGTATCTTATTATAAAAGTTTTTTGTTTGTTTGTTTGTTTGTTTGCAGTTTTTGGCTGGGGCTGGGTTTGAACCCACATATGGGCCAGCGCCCTACTCCTTTGAGCCACAGGTGCTGCCCTATAAAAGTTTTTTAAAAGCATATGAAGCTTGCAACTTATAGAAAAGAATATAGAGGTAGAGGCAAGGAAGAATAACTTTTAGCATTTCATTACTGAAGGTAACCACTGTTAACATTTTATTTTAATTTTATCCAGGAGAAAAAACCATCAATAAATGAAAAAATAAGTAGTATCATATTGTCTTTGGTTTTGTACCTTTTGGATTTCTCATTATATCATAAGTACTTTTCTTATCACCAAATGTTCCTCAAAGACATGATTTTTAATGGCTGTATAATGTAGATATGAAGTAACTAAACCACGTGCCTTTGTGTTAGGCATTTAACTTTTCATTTTTCCTATAATAATGCCGTAATTAACATGCCTGTAAATCTTGGTATCATTTTTCATATTTGTATCTGGAGGATTCTGTACATTTAATAGTTGTGTCATGAAGTCTGGCAAGGAGTTTCAGATTTCTGAAATCGCTGGGCATTCACAATGTCAGTGTGGGCATTCACTCTTACAGTGTCCGTTAGTCGTCCTAAAGGGGTCCACTAAAAATACCTAGAATAAATTCATTCTTTTTTCATAGTCTCTGGAGTCACTTAGCTTATGTCCTATTACAATTTTCTATTGTTTTTGTATATTACTGAGCACCAACAGCATCTGACCAACGCCTTATTCAGCATTCTTGAGATCTCAAAACAGATATACCCTTAAAAAGCCCAGCCCTTGTCCTCATATCTCAAGATCACCTGTGAGGTCATGTCCATGAGAAAAGTTTTCTGAAGGCTAATTTAAAACTCGTAAGGCCAGAAACTGAAGTCACCTGCAAAGGCCTTGTTCTCCAAGAGAACTCACACAAATCCAGCTCATACTTGCTGATTTTAAACAGCTTTTTCTTTGTATTTGGAACTGGATAGACTAATGACAGATGGACAGCCCAGCCCCTTAAGTGTACCCACATTTAAAACAAGCCTTTATCTCAGTTCCTTTAAGGATTTCAGTTATTCCAGACCTGATTTCCTTTCCTAGAAAGCAAAGCTATAAATTTTCTTTTCATCTCTGTCTCTGAGCTGTCTTCTCAGTCTCTAGGACTACTGAATAACTAGCTGGTCCCTGGTAATTATGTATAACAGATGTCAGCATCTTAAATTT